GGAGCCCTATAATCCCTGAAATTTTGATCTTGTTAGTATACGCACTTTTCGATAAAATCGGAAAAACGGTATAAACAAATTAGCTGCTAACGAAAATACCGAAAACTAAATCGATCAAGAACACACCACTGGGTGGTTATTATTAGTCTAGTGGACCCCTATAATCCCTGAAATTTTGATCTTGTTAGTATACGCAGTTTTCGAGAAAATCGGAAAAACGTTATAAACAAATTGGCTGCTGACGAAAATACCGAAAACTAAATCGATCAAAAACACGCCACTGGGGGATTATTATTAGTCTAGTGGGACTCTATAATCCCTGAAATTTTGATCTTGTTAGTATACGCACTTTTCGAAAAAATCGGAAAAAGTGTATAAACAAATTAGCTGCTGACGAAAATACCGAAAACTAAATCGATCAAGAACACGCCACTGGGTAATTATTATCAGTCTAGTGGGACTCTATAATCCCTGAAATTTTGATCTTGTTAGTATACGCCGTTTTCGAGAAAATCGGAAAAACGGTATAAACAAATTAGCTGCTGACGAAAATACCGAAAACTAAATCGATCAAGAACACGCCACTGGATGATTATTATTAGTCTAGTGGACCCCTATAACCCTTAAATTTTGATCTTGTTAGTATACGCAGTTTTCGAGAAAATCGAAAAAACGTTATAAACAAATTGGCTGCTGAAGAAAATACCGAAAACTAAATCGATCAAGAACACGCCACTGGGGGATTATTATTAGTCTAGTGGGACTCTATAATCCCTGAAATTTTGATCTTGTTAGTATACGCAGTTTTCGAGAAAATCGGAAAAACGGTATAAACAAATTAGCTGCTGACGAAAATACCGAAAACTAAATCGATCAAGAACACGCCACTGGGGGATTATTATTAGTCTAGTGGGACTCTATAATCCCTGAAATTTTGATCTTGTTAGTATACGTAGTTTTCGAGAAAATCGGAAAAACGTTATAAACAAATTGGCTGCTGACAAAAATACCGAAAACTAAATCGATCAAGAACACGCCACTGGGTAATTATTATTAGTCTACTGGGACTCTATAATCCCTGAAATTTTGATCTTGTTAGTATACGCAGTTTTCGAGAAAATCGGAAAAACGGTATAAACAAATTAGCTGCTGACGAAAATACCGAAAACTGAATCAATCAAGAACACGCCACTGGGTGATTATTATTAGTCTAGTGGGACTCTATAATCCCTGAAATTTTGATCTTGTTAGTATACCCAGTTTTCGAGAAAATCGGAAAAACGGTATAAACAAATTAGCTGCTAACGAAAATACCGAAAACTAAATCGATCAAGAACACGCCACTGGGGGATTATTATTAGTCTAGTGGGACTCTATAATCCCTGAAATTTTGATCTTGTTAGTATACGTAGTTTTCGAGAAAATCGGAAAAACGTTATAAACAAATTGGCTGCTGACGAAAATACCGAAAACTAAATTGATCAAGAACACGCCACTGGGTGATTATTATTAGTCTAGTGGACCCCTATAATCCCTGAAATTTTGATCTTGTTAGTATACGCAGTTTTAGAGAAAATCGGAAAAACGATATAAACAAATTAGCTGCTGACGAAAATACCGAAAACTAAGTCCATCAATAACACGAAACTGTGTGCTTCTAGTTAGTAGTGATATAAATCATGACCTTTTTTTGTTGTTTCTGTCGATATGATAGTAACCAATTGTTGATAAAGGTAGTAGTACTAGTACTATCATAAATGAATTAGTTTTTTATTTTTTTTTTAATTTTGGTTACATTAGTATAATGTATACATATTTTATAAAATTACACTAGGCGTGTCAATTTGAAATTATAATAATTAATCCGATATAAAAATATCGGTAATAATATATTAACATAATGAAGCATATTTCGTTTTAGTACTATTTAAATATTAATAAAATCCTCCTGCAAGAAATTGTATGATTATTTCATATTAAGTTAAGTCGCCCGACGCCACTGGCCCTTCGGCTATGTTCGGCAAATCGGCCGCTATCTTTTGGCTGCTAAGTTCACATCAGTCCCTCTCTCGGTATTATAATTCTCTTTTTCTTTCAATACTATCCTTTAACTACAACCCTTCTACAACTAAGCATATTTATGCTACTGTAATAATAAAATTTAACTTAAAGATACTTCAAAATTCTTCTTTTCTTTCAATCTTAGTCTGCGGTTATTGTTTTTTGTATACCGGGTGCGTCTCGAAATTGACTCACCCCTATAATTTTTTTACATAAAATACGAATTTGATATTAGTATATGACATAAATTAGGATTGATTGAATATTCAGTTGTTTTGGGCCACTTCCTGTTTCACCGGTAATGACTAAAACTTTTGATTTTTAAATGGCAATGGTTCAATCGGTATATTTCTACTTCATTCGATAGAAAATGACACTCTGAGTACAATGACATATCATATGTCAACTTTTGACATTTTCGTTCAAAAAACATATTTTAAATTTCAATCTAGAGTGCCATGGCTCTGTTAAAAACACCAATTTTTAAACAAGGAGCCTTGGGAAAATAGATTTGATCATCTAATGTTTTTCGTGTCTTGTCCTGGCCGGTCCAAAAGGTGCCAAAGTCGTATTTTTAATCGAAAATATCAAAAGATGACATTTGTCATAAAGTAGAAATATACCCAGGGTGCTATTTAAAAATCTTAAGTTGTAGTAATTTCCGATGAAACAGGAAGTGACCAAAAACAATTTAATACGTCAATTAACCCTAATTTATGTCGTATACTAACATACCAAATTTCGTTTTTTTTTCTGGAAAAATAAACAAGTTATAGGGGTGAGCCACTTTTGAAACGCACCCGGTATATAGAGTTCCAACTTCGGCAGTCTCGTTCTGGTATCAGTAATCTTTGAATATATTAGTATTTAGTTTCAAGCAGTTGCATTATTTTTCTATAAGAATTTAAGAAAAATTTCTTTTCTTTTTCACAATCAATTATTTCGTGCAGAATCAGTTTATGATCAGATACAGTTTTGTCGGCTTCAAAATAAGGTTCAGCCAGTGTTTGAGATGTATTCCTTTGTCTTGCTCTAATGAGAAAATTCTACGATTCTGCTACTATTTTCTCTCTACAATTTCCTGTTTCACAATGTACCGTTTGTGTCCGGGAAGAGTTCATAGATTCATAGTTGTCGATTTTCGAAAGAAATCAGTACATTTATATTATTTCGTATATTTTTCATTTTATTGATTTTATGGAAAGCACTGTTCATTAAAATGTTGTATCCTATGTTATAGGGCTGGTTTCTCTCTACAATTTCCTGTTTCACAATGTACCGTTTGTGTCCGGGAAAAGTTCATGGATTCATAGTTCTCGATTTTCGAAAGAAATCAGTACATTTATATTATTTCGTATATTTTTCATTTTATTGATTTTATGGAAAGCACTGTTCATTAAAATGTTGTAGCCTATGTTATAAAACTTGTTTCTCTCTACAATTTCCCTTATTTATTATTACACCTTCATATTATTACATATTATTACACATTCAATTGGGAAAATGAAAATCACCAAGAGATTGATATATTTTCCCACTGCTGCTAATAAATTAATTTAACTAATGAGGCAAACTTATAAGTTTTTTTTTGGATAATAAGGATATCGAGATCCTCTTCCGCTTCTTGCGAATGAATATTTATCTCATATAATCCAGCCATTTATGACAAATAAAAGGGTAGTAGAAAAAGTGCGATTTTGAGCAGTCAGTCTAAAACTGTCAATTTTGCTGGCTCTTGACACAAAACATTTTGTTTAGAGAAAATTTATAAAAACAAGAATTATAGAAAGAAAGGTTTTTTACAAAAAGTTGATAGCTTTTGAATTATAAGTAAAATTCCACGAAAAATCAGATTTATTAAAATCAGATATTATATTAAAATTGTCCATGTATATTCTTTTTGTAATTTTAAAGACTTAAATTTTTTTGAATTGTATTATTTGTATTGTGTATTTTTTGTTGTTTGCATTTTTTTGTGATTTTGTTGTTTGTGAGTGCTTTGTCGATGAAGCTGTTTTGGCTTTTTGTACAATAAAGCGTTGTTTGTTTGTTGTTTGTTGTATATTTTTTTTATTTTGATTAAGATTTTTCCACGAAAATGAATTCGCAAATTCCAGTTTCGAATAGAGCACCCAAAAAACTTATAGAATGGAAGAAATTAAAACTATCCGACAGCTTTCGTGCAAAGGATTTTTTTGGAGCATAATTTCAGTAAACTATAATAGGATACGGATATAGTACCTAGTGTTTATAATGTTTAGTCAGATATTCTTCCCCATGTGGTGTGGTAATTGGTAATATTTTAATGTGGAACTTGATAGTACCGATTAATTATTGATCTGTTCATTCGTTACTCTTTGTTTAGATTACCGTTTTTAAATATTTTAGTTGCCATCGTGGCGCCCCTCGTAAAAGGCGCCCCGGCCGGCCGCCCGGGTCGCCCGGCCTTTCCGCCGGCCCTGGGTAACCGTAATAGAAAGAACATGGTTAAATTGGGGCAAAGTTGCGCCTTTGGATGTTCACCAAGTTGCTCTCAAAAAAAAGTTTTAAAATTTTCAAGGATTGCTGAGTTTTTTGGAAAAAACGGATTTTTTGGAAAATCAATGTTATTTTTTCCTGTCATTAATTTTTAGAAAATCCAAAAACTAATTGCGCATTCTCATAGCCACTTCATCAGGGCTATCTGATAGTATTTTTAGATTTTCAAATTAGCTGATAACTTGTGAGATACAAAGGACAACTTATTTTTTTTAAATATGGACCTGCATTTTTTATTTCAGATTTTGAAAGAACTCGGTCTCCTGAGTACAATGATATGCCACACTTTATAATTTTTTTTGTTTTCTTAACAACTTTAAGTTTAATTATACCGACATAGTTTTTAGCTTCATATTCTAAATTTAAAGAAACAACACAATTAATATCAAGAATATACTTACTTTATATTTTGACTATAAGAGGGCATAGCATTATCTGATGCATCTTCACTGGTGGAAAATCCCTTGCTTTCAGAACCAGGCCTTTTTATTAATTGTTGTTTATTTTCCACCTTTTCACGTACCAAATAATTCATATAAGCTCTCCTATATTCTGGTTGGCATTCAAAACGACCATCGAACTGTTCTGGTTCCTGATGATTAAAAACAGTATGATGCTGAAGTGCAGCAGGGTTCCAGTCCCTTTTCTGCGCTTTCGTTCTCATCTGAAATTGTCTATATGTACAGGGTGTCCCACTAAGAATAGCTCTCGGCTGTATCTCGAAAAGCATCAATCGTAGAGCTTGAAGAAAAAGATATTTGAAACTAAAGAGACCATGAGAAATTGCTGGAAATTGCTGAGAAATGGCTGTTCAAGTTTGTAGACCGGCTGCTAGAGGGTGTAACTTCTATGGAAAATAACCAAAATGGAATTTTTAAGAAAGTTTACCTAGATAAGATGTAATATAAATAATAATTTCATAATCTTCAGTAAATTTTGGATCTTTTTTGTTAGAACCGTTTTCCCTATCTGCTAAAATAAAGTGGTGGGGAAGGTTAGATTTGTTTTTATTTAAATGTTAATAACTCCGGACTGGATGATCGGAATCCAACAAATAAGCTCGTTTAAAAGAGCGTTTCTTACTTCATATTATACCGTATAAATAATAATAATAAGCTTTTGAATGTAGACGCCAGGGGACGCTGTCTTACAATTTAACAAACATTGCGCGTTTTTTTTCAAAAAAATTAAATGCGATAGTAATATGTAATATGTAATTTTAGCTGATACTAAAGAGTAATAAAAGCTTAACAAGTCAGCGAAAACCACATCTTGACACCTTTTTTCAAACCAAAGTTATTAGGAAAATTATAATAAATACGAAAATATAAGCCCTTAATTACCTTATTTTTCTAACAAGGTATCACTAGCCCTCTTGATTATGACCATTTTAATAAAAAAAATAAGATAAAAAATATTATTTTATTCAAAAAATCGACAATGAACCAGAATACCATAATACTAGGTGTAGTAATATCTAATAATTAAGATATCCGTGACGGTGGACAAGAAACGACACCTCAATGAATCCATGGTAGGCTTGGAAAAAAGTTGCTTTTAGCGGGATAGTTTAAACATTAAAATATTATTATATCAACATTTTGATAGTCTCAGCAGCGTTTTTTTATCTTTTGTTTGCTTTTCTAAAAATGCCTTTCTTCAGTAGAAAAAAAAACGCTACTAAGACGATCAAAATGACCATGACTTCACTGAGGCGTCGTTTCTTATTAACTGTCATTGATATCTTAATTATTAGATATTAAATCTGGTATTATGGTATTCTGGTATATTGACGATTTTTGAATAAACTAATTATTTCTATCTTATTTTTTTGTCAGAATGTTCATAATCAAGGGGGCTACTGTAACCGTGTTGTAAAAATAAGGTAATTAAGGGCTTATTTTTCCGTATTTATTATATTTTTGCTAATATATTCGGTTTGAAAGAAGATATCAAGATGCGTTTTTTGCTGGCTTTTTAAGCTTTTATTACTCTTTACTATCAGCTAAAATTACATATACTATCGCATTTAGTTTTTTTTTTGAAAAAACGCGCAATGTTTGTTAAATTGTAAGACAGCGCCCCCTAGCGTCTACATTCAGAAGCTTATTATTATTGTTTATACGGTATAATATAGAGTAAGAAACTTTCTTTTAAACGAGCCCATGTTTGTTGGATTCCGTCCATCCAGTCCGGAGTTATTAATATTTAAATAAAAACAGATCTAACCTTCCCCCACCACTTTATTTTGGCAGATAGGGGAAAATGATTCTTATAAAAAATATTCAAAATTTACTGGAGATTATGAATCTATTATTTATAGTACCTGTTATCTAGGCAAAATTGTGTAAAAGCTCCTTTTTCTAATTTTTTTAGCAGTTGCGCCCTCTAGCGGCCGTTCTACAAACTTAAAAATAATTTCAAGCAATTTCTCAGGACCTCTTTAATTATAAATATTTTTTTCCGCAGGCCCTATGGCTTTCAGAGATACAGCCGAGAGCTATTCTTAGTGGGACACCCTGTACATTTTTAGTTTACAGGCCAATTTAATTATAGAGGGGAGGTAAAAAAATATTGTCAATTATATTTTATAAGTTAAAAGACTTAGCTTGTGATATTTTATTTTAGACTTTGAAAATACTACGGTTAAAAAAACCAAAAAACATCGATCTGTTTTCGATACGTATAGAAAATAAATTTAAAAAACATATAAGTTTTGTAGAGGATGATTTTAAAACTTAAATTCGGCAAATCGGCAGTTTGTTTAAAAATACTCCGGACATGCCAATTAATATATAAAATTGCGCCCTAGTTCGGGACTCGTTGTAGGGATGGGAGAAAACATTCCAAAAGGGGCTTCCATAATGGTCTTCCTGCCGAGGAGCAATGGGAAAGACAACTCCAGTACAAGGTTATCAAGTTGGCGAGACATCAACTCGAGAGAGGAGAATCATGGTCAGGTCTTCACAATAGGAATTGAACTTGAATCCAAGGAGGCAATAGAGAAAGAGGGATATATCCTCTATTATAGATTCGGGAGAACACCGCACCGGTATCAGGTCTAAAGAAAGACCAAGTTAAAGAGGTGGAGAAAATGGAGATAGATCTTCCAGCATCCACCTCACAGGTTCCTCAGCCGGAGACAAGTTCCTCGACTGTGAAGGGCACGGAAGACCAAAACCCCAACCGTGGAAGGGTGTATACCCTCGGAGAAGGAACATTTGCTTTCAGAAGAGGATGGGAAATATCCTGTCCCCCCTACAACATGAATGATGGGTTATATACTGTATAATAGGTGGAGTACAAGAGAGGAGGATGCAAGAGATCTTTAAGGTCGCAGTGATTAACCCCCTCCCTCCCGCTTTTTAGATCTGCGCCTGGTTGATGTAAGTAAATTTTATACACCCATTTCTAAATACGAGATATGATTTCAACGGCATTTTTTAAATGACAACCCTGTACTTTATATACTTAAACAACGTTTTTTTGTTGTTCTTTTTAAAGGGTATATCTAGGGTTGGAACCTTTGGTGTTACAACAGCAAAATAAAACACTAATTCACCACAATACACCAAAACACTTTTCTTTTGCCCTGAATGCGCGTTTGCCAACCGTGTTAGCATCATCAGCAGATGATTGAAACTAAAAGTTTAGTCTAGTAGTTTTAATCATCTGCTGATGTCGCTAACATGGTTAGCGAAACGGCTGTCCAGTGCAAAAAAAAAGTGTTTTGGTGTATCGTGGTGAATTAGTGTTTTATTTTGCAGGGTATTTTAAGTTCGATATGCTTGTCAAATTTAATTTCTATTCATGGAACAAAGTGAGACAAGTATTGAGGAAATGAAATAACGAATTAGGCAGATAATTTTCGCTAAAGTACTTAGATATGTTTACAGATAGACTTCCAGTTCCGTTTAGAGCATTCCGAGTTAGTAACGGGATATTTTGAATATTTATCGAAAAATTCTATAGATTTAAAATAATTTTTTGATAGAGAAAAAGATCATAATTGATTAAATATATTTTAAATGAGAAAAAATTATATAGAAAATAGTTTAAATTTATCACGCATCTGTAACTTGATATAACATGATGAGCAAAAAGCGCGCCAAGCTTTAAAAGTAAAGTGCTTGTGATAAACTAATGCTTTATTATTATTATTTGCAATAATATTAATATTTAAAAAAATTGTCGATAACTTTATATCCCAAATTGGGAACATACCTACAATATAAAAAATCTTAACATGTTCAAAAATTAAATTAATTAAATTTCATGTTATGCAAATTAAATATATTGTAATCGCAAAAGATTCTCCGATGCACGTCATCAGTCATATACCTCATCAGTAATAAACCTGACTAAATGAAATTTTGGCATATATATACAGGCCCGGCAATTGATCTCTAGGCATAGGAATGACATGCATTGGAATGAAACGCCTATAAAAAGTCTATGCTTAAACAGAGATGGACAACTTCCCCGTTTCCACTTCCACTACGACTGTCTACTTAGACAAACTCCAATAAGATAACAAATTTTGGAAATTCCGCCACCTCTCAGCCACTCATGATACCCATCTCCCTACCCTTTATTTATCGCCATTATTTTATTTCCCTTCCCGCGCCTCCTCCAACTCGCTATTCCGTCTCCCGTCAGTTCATCACGGAGTTGCCAGGTCTAGCGGTTTCGTCTGTAAGCTACCGATCTACCGATTTAAAGAAAAAATCTAATGATATGTTCAACTGCGTCTTTAGTTTTTACAATAGAAGCACTTTTAAAAAGCTGACTTATTTGACTAAAAATTAAGCGACTGCCGCGTTGGAATCTGTATAATCTGACTTTATTATTGTTTCATTAAATTTTATTTAGTAATAACGCACATACAGGTCATTGTTCTGTCTAGTTGCAGAGTTACAGAGATATTCTTAAAAATCCTTATTAGGCGCGGTATTGGCGACATGCCCGAAGAAGTTGATATCTTTTGAAAAGATTTTGTTTCATTCATCTACTAAAGTTGAACCCATATTTTCTCCAAAAAAATGTAAACAAAAAACAAAATTTAAGTTAAGAAACGACCCAAATTCGGACAAATATTTTAGTGATTTTCCTATCAAAAAAATTGTTGAGTTGAGAGTTGCTACAGCTTTCCCATTGAAATGAAATTAATTTTAGATATTACTGATCAAAATTTGTACAAAGGTAAAAAGTGAGTGCTACACTAATTTGTGACTGCTATCCCTACTTGTTATAGTTTTATATGTTTTTATTAATATATTAATATTATTCAATTCAATATTTTTTTAAATATCAAATAATATACGTAGCTATTTGTAATGCTTGTTATATTTATTATATTTGTATTTTATTTGAGTGATCTATTATTACGACACATAGGAATGCTAATTTTGGACTTAAATATTATATTTTATTTTGTTTCTGTTCTTTTGATTTTTGTTGAAGATCTACCGAGAATTTTGTTCTCGTATAGAATTATAATCTAACAAACCCGGCAACCCTGTTCGGCTACTTATAAAGTTTTTTCGGCCTAAAGCTCCGCGCGCACTGAAGGGGTATCGGCGAGAGCGAGCGGCACGACCGGTCGGAAAGTCGATTGTAGCCGCGCACTGGAGTCGCACGATCGACGCGCAACGGTCGAGAGTA